TGCTTAGCTTCCCAGATCTGACGAGATCGGCCTGCCCTACACCATGCCCCCTTCCCTCCCATTCTACTTGTAGTGAAGCTTTTTCGGATGCGCGTCAGAGCACTTTGGTCCCCTGTCCCCAATCTCAGCTTGCAACACAGATCGGTGTCAACACAGGCTCCACTTCTATGCGACGTGATTTTAGTCTTTGTATCCCTTTTGGTATAAGCTCCCTTTTTTGTGGGGGTTTATTTGGGGGTATTTTTTCAAATGTGCCTGGGCCTGTGAGCGTGTGTGCCCCTGGAAGTCATGGCGGCCTCTGGTGACTGACCCCTACTGGGAGCCTGGAGGATATTCGGAGAGGTGGCTGAATAGAGCCTGCCGCCCGCCTCCCGACTGCTGGCATTCCAAGTACTTGCCAGAGTCGACCCTGCTTCGCTTCCAGGATCTGACGAGGTCGGGCTTGCCTGGGCTATCCGGGGAAGGGCTGGTATAAGCTGCCTTCAGACTCAGCTCTTGGCTCAGCCGGCAAGATATCAATGTTAAAAGAAAGACGCGAGTCCCTTATTGTGGCCGCGCGTGGCACTTTCACATCCGTTCCTGTTTAAAGCGGCGCCTTCTTCCCCACTGTTCTGCCGCCCGCTTCCTTCTGATAGCAGGGTCCCAGCCTAAGCTCCAGGGGAAGGACTACAGTAGGAAGGGAGGGATTCCCCCACCGGAACGGTGTCGAGCAAAGCTGGCTTGCAGGATGCAACACAAACAGTCCTGAATCCTCAGCATCCCATCTCAGACCCTGAGGAAATAGCCTGTGCCATACACACACCCGGGTGAAGAAGCATGAATGGGGTGTACCCTTCACCCTGCCCACCTGCTAAGCAGGATTTTGCTTGCTGCCACGTGACCCAGCCAGAAGAGAGCAGAGCGCCTGCCAGTTGGATGCCTGAGGGCCGCGAGGCTCTATCCCTCATACAAACTTACATTTGTTTGGTGTAGTGGTTAAGTGTGCGGACTCTGATCTCTCTCAGCCCCACCGACCTCACAGGGTGTCTGCTGTGGGGAGAGGAAGGGAAAGGTGCCACTACCATCATTACCACCATGTTCCATCTTACCCTGGCCCTGGATGAGGGAACGTCAGCGTCCCCGGAGCAGAACTGCTGAACAGTGTGAAGTACGCCATCTGTGAACATCGAGAGCACTTTAGTTAGTTAGTTAATAACTTATTAAGAAAGACCGGGTTTGATTCCCCACTCCTCCACTCGCACCTGCTGATGTGACCTTGGGTCAGTCACAGGCTCTGGCACAGCTGTTCCTAAAAAGAGCAGTTTCTGCCAAGAGCTCTCTCAGCCCCACCCACCTCCCAGGGTGTCTGTTGTGGGGAGGGGAAGGGAAAGGAGTTTGTAAACCGCTCTGAGACTCCTTTGGGTAGTGAAGGGCGGGGTATAAAAACCAACTCCTCCTTCTCCTCCTCCTTCTCCTCCTCCTCCATCCTGGGGTATAAGGACTCAGTGATCTCCATTCCTACTTGTATCTGATGAAGGGAGCCTTGACCCTCGAAAGCTGATACCCCCCAAATCTTGTTGGTCTCTTAGGTGCTACTGGAATCTAGCTCTTCCGGGAATGGCCGTTTCCCAGTGCAGGGTGCGGAGGGTTCTCTGTTGGAGATTCCAAGCCCCGCCCCACCCAGAACCTGTTCCCTGGGGATATCTGTTAAATTTGGCATCGGTAGGCTTTCAGCGTCGCCTCTTCAGCTCCATTCTGCTGCCCACTTGTCTTTTGCCCCCACCTGTAAAATCTAAGACAAGAAGAAGAAGAAGAGAAGAAGAGATTGGATTTATTCCCCGCCCTTCACTACCCAAAGGTGTCTCAGAGCAGCTTACAAACTCCTTTCCCTTCCCCTCCCCACAATAGACACCCTGTGAGGTGGGTGGGGCTGAGAGAGAAGAAGGAGAAGGAGAAGAGATTGGATTTATTCCCCGCCCTTCACTACCCAAAGGAGTCTCAGAGCGGTTTACAAACTCCTTTCCTTTCCCTTCCCCTCCCCACAACAGACACCCTGGGAGGGAGGTGGGGCTGAGAGAAGAAGAAGAAGAAGGAGAAGAGATTGGATTTATACCCCGCCCTTCACTACCCAAAGGAGTCTCAGAGCGGTTTACAAACTCCTTTCCCTTCCCCTCCCCACAACAGACACCCTGGGAGGTGGGTGGGGCTGAGAGAGCTCTTGGAGTAGCCAAATTACTGCTCATAGCTTTAATGCCAGTAGCTCACAAAGTGGAATTTTTGCTCATAAGACTCTATAGCTTAGAGGGAACATTGGACCCGGTCCTCCCAGATTAGAGTCCGCGCACTCAACCACTACACCAAACTGACAAAATGTAGATCTGTGTGCAGCTCCATGATGACGGGGTTTTTTCCTTCCCAGGTTCGGGGCCCACCTCTCTGGAGGGGATACGGTCTCGCGCTCCATCCGACTCAACAACCCCACGCCCTTCGGTAAGAAAAGGGTGAGATCTGTATTGCTCTGTCGGGGAAGGCAAACAGTTTCGGGAAGAGGCTCCGGATTTCTTTCTCAGCCGAGCTGTTTTCCTGGAGGACGGCCGAGGACAGCCACAGCAGGGAGGGATTCTGGGAGCTTTGAAAAGCAGCCGAAGAGCACCAGTGCTTGAAAGCCGCGCGCAGACCAATGTTCCCTCTAAGCTATGGGGTCTTGTGAGCAAAAATTGTACTTTGTGAGTTACTGGCATTAAAGTTGTGAGTGAACAATTTGGTTACTGCATAAATTAGTTTGCTCTGGAGCCCTCCTTCCTGAGCTAAGACAAAAATGTATGAGCTGGAGGCTAAAAAACTGTGAGCTAGCTCACACTAACTCAGCTTAGAGGGAACACTGGCCAAAAGCTGTGTTTCTTCCTGTAGTGGTTAGGTGCGTGGACTCTAATCTGGGGAAACCGGGTTTGATTCCCCACTCCTCCACTTGCACCTGGCTGGATGACCTTGGGCAAGCCGTAGCTCTGATAAGAGCTGTGCTTGAAAAAGAGCCGTTTCTGTCAGAGCTCTCTCAAATTCAAATTCAAATACCTTTTATTGGCATGCAATATTAGAAGCATTTCCCAATAATACAATCCAAAAGAAATTATAAAATAGATAGTCGTGGCTATGTCAGGCCTAACTCAAGTTGTCACAAACTAGATTTGACCATACAAAAAGATGCCTGAATCATAAAATAAATTGGAATTCTAAACTTTTAAACTTAAGTTTTTAGACTTATAAATTAAGAATCATTAATATGATCAGGGTCACTCTTCCGTGTTATAAAACAATGGAGAAACTTAGCGGTCAGTTCAATGATCTCCGGATCTCGTGAAGCAAGGAGAAATTGTACCTTGATTCTATCCGATTGGCCTGCTACCAACCTAAGGGGGGCTTCTATAAACTCCACTCGAATGTCATTTAACAATTTACAGTATAAGAGTACGTGCTCAACAGTTTCTATTTCTCTTCTATTACATCCACAGAACCTGACTGAATAAGGAATTTGCTTATATCTCCCCTCAAGAATAGCAGAGGGGAGAACATTAAGACGGGCCAACAGATAAGCTCTACAAATTTGCGGTGAAGTCAGACAGAAAAAGTAATATGGTAGAGCACCAGAAAGGGGATAGGCCCACCTTACTGAGGAGCACCTTCCGGAGGCAAGGGCTCTGAGCATCAGAGCTCTCTCAGCCCCACCTGCCTCACAGGCTGTCTGTTGTGGGGAGGGGGAGGGAAAGGAGTTTGTAAGCCGCTCTGAGACTCCCTTTGGATAGTGAAGGGCGAGGAATAAATCCAATCTCTTCTTCTTCTTCTTTTACCTCACGGGGGGCCTGTTGTGGGGCGGGGAGGGGAAAGGAGTTTGTGAGTCGCTCTGAGACTCCCTTCGGATAGTGAAGGGCGGGGTATAAATCCAATCTCTTCTTCTTTTTCTTTTACCTCACAGGGTGTCTGTTGTGGGGAGGGGAAGGGAAAGGAGTCTGTAAGCCGCTCTGAGACTCCTTTGGGTAGTGAAGGGCGGGGTATAAATCCAACCTCTTCTTCTTCATTCATTCATTCATTTTTAACCCGCCCTTTTTTCCATGGAGCTCAGAATGGAATACATGGTTCACCTACAGTCGTCAGCCTCCAGGTGGGGCCCGGAGATCTCCCAGAATTACAGCCAAGACGGGAGTCCCTTATTGTGGCCACGCATGACAGAGCTCCGTGCCCCTGGAGAAAACAGATACTTTGGAGGGTGGATCCTGTGGCGTTAGACCCCACTGAGTTCCTTCCTGGCCCCAGGCCCCGCCCCCAAATCGCCAGGGATTTCCTAACCTGGAGTTGGCAACCCTAGGTTCATCTCTTTTATCTCCCCAACAGCCCTGCTGAGCAGCAGGGCATCTGTTCGGCACACAGAAGGTCCCAGGTTCAATCCCCGGCAGCATCTCCAGTTAAAAGATCTGGCAGGAGGTGATATGAAAGGCCTCCGCCTGAGACCCTGGAGAGCCGCTGCCGGTCTGAGTGGACAGTGCCGACTCTGATGGACCAAGGAGGTCTGATTCAATATACAGCAGCTTCATGGGTTCAACAGGCTCAAGTGACAGAAGGCTCAGGGTCACTCCAAGTCTTATTTTTATAACCTTAAGGACTAGGAGCCTGAATTCCATTTATACTTTTGATTCCTGCACAGTGAGCTTCTCATGTGCACCGCTTTGGGTAAAATTAGTTTTGCCGTAGGTGACACTAGAAGAAGAAGAAGAAGAAGAAGAGAAGGGATTGGATCTATACCCCGCCCTTCACTACCCAAGTGAGTCTCAGAGGGGCTTACAAACTCCTTTCCCTTCCCCTCCCCACTACAGACACCCGGTGAGGTGGGTGGGGCTGAGAGAGCTCTTGACAGAAACGGCTCTTTTTCAAGGACAGCTCTTATCAGAACTATGGCTTGCCCAAGGTCATCCAGCTCAGGTGCAAGTGGAGGAGTGGGGAATCAAACCCGGTTCTCCCAGATTAGAGTCCGCGCACTTAACCACTACACCAAACTGTAAAGGCCAGGGCCATGATATTAAGGCCCTCAGTCCTGGTTTTATCAGAGTTCAGTTCGCGACACAACACCTTGCATTTATCCCTGGTTATAACAGCATCCATTTATCCCAGGACAAGTGTGGGGCAAAACCGGGCTGACCTCAGTGTAATGTGGAAACAAAAAAATACCCCGAGATAATTACAGGGGTGAACTCGAGTGTAGTGTAGAATGTAAGTTCGGGGACAGGGTTGAACCGGGATTTAAGGTCTAGTGCGGAAAGGACCTAGATGACCTTAGAGCAGTGATGGCGAACCTTTTAGAGACCGAGTGCCCAAACTGCGACCCAAAACCCACTTATTTATTACAAAGTGCCAACACGGCCATTTAGCCTGAATACTGAGGTTTTACTTTAGAAAAGAAACCTCATAAATTAACTTAAGATGATCCAAACAAAGTAAGGAAAGCAATCCGAAATGCTTTCATTTACTTAAGATTATTTGGCAGAGAATTCGACACTTTAATGATGGACTTGGGGCCTGGCTGGGGCGATGGCACGCGTGCCCACAGAGAGGGCTCTGAGTGCCACCTCTGGCACCCATGCCATAGGTTTGCCACCACTGCCTTAGAGCTTTTTGTGTCTGGTGTGCTGAGGCTGGGGCAGCCCCTTCATCCTGGCAGGTGACTGCAGTTGCTGACGGACGCGCATCCGTGTCGAGGCCCCATTATAATCCGAGCCCCCAGCGTGTTTCTCCCCCGCCCCCTTTTCCAAATCCAGATATCCGCATGGACTGGGAGAGCTACAATCAGGACAAAGACGACGACAAACTGGTGGACCTCCTGGTGTTCTACGGAGCCCCTTTCCCAATTAAAGACATGGACGGCAACGAGATCGAGTCCCTCTGTGAGGAGACGACACCTACGGATCAGGCATCGTACAGTGCCAGCAGTGCCACGGCGCCATCTCGTGGAGAAGGCCCAGTAAGGAAACGGTGCACTGTTGCTTTGAAGGCTGCCTGACTGTCAACGGGGCTAAAATACACCATTATGGCCCATTCTGGATCTAGCATTGGCCCTGCTGTTTCCCCAAACCCACGTTGGAACAGAAATCCCCCTCTGCATTGCACGCCACTGTCACTGTGACTGATTGTCGGATTTTATGGCAGTGTCCAGCCTGCATGCCCCTTTCACTTCATTTGATCTCTCGGTTTTATGGAAGTGTCTACATACATTTATGGCCGTTTTATGGCCATTCAGGGGTGACTCTGGAGTCAGTACAGCGCTGACCCAGAATATCTGAATGTGGTTTTGAGCCGTATCTTTTTCTGTTCCAGTGCGGGTTTGGTCAAACCAACAGAGCGAATGCTGGATGCAGAATGGGCCGATTTTTTTTTACAGCTTTTCTTCTGGGTTCAGCACTCAGATCAGAGTCAGCACACAGTCAGCCCCAAGAACGTCGCTTTAAAATCCTCAGGAGCCAATTCTGCTGATAATTGGGGGGGGGCATGGGTGGAGGAGGGAGGACTCCTGCCTCCCCCCCAGCCTCTTTCCTGGGCGTAAAGAACCCCTGCCCTGCCCTGGACAGCCCAAGCTGGCCTGATCACGTCGAATCTTGGCAGCTAAGCAGGGTCGGCCCTGGTTAGTCCTTGGATGGGAGACCACTGAGGAAGTCCAGGGTTGCTACGCAGGGGCAGGCGATGGCCAACCACCTCTAAATGTGTCTTGTTTTGACCCGTATGGCCCAGGCGAGGCCATTCTCATCAGATCTCAGAAGCTAAGCAAGGTCAGCCCTAGCCAGTTCTTGGACGGGGGACCTCCAAGGAAGACCAGGGTGGTGACGCAGAGGTAGGCAATGGCAAGCCACCTCCAAACGTCTCTTGCCTTAAAAACGTCATAAGCCAAGCTGTGACTTGGCACGGGCAGCACTCTTCACCACCCCACTCGGTGCCCTCTATGTTTCCCAGCTGAGCCAACGACATCTCTGAGGGGCAAAGCGGAAGGGGGGGGAAGGCTCCCTCTCTCTCCCCGTGTGTCCTGGTCCCGATCTGAATCGGGCCACTGTGTGCCCGGGAATGACATGGCCGCCCAGAACCCTCAGCACACAGCCAACGATCCCTGTAAGCCGTGGAGTCTTGTGAGCAAAAATTCTACTAAGTTGTGAGCGAGCAGTTTGGCTGCTGCATCCGTGAGTCTGCTCTGGAGCCCTCCTCCTGAGCTATGACAAAAATGCGTGAGCTAAAATGCGTGAGGCTAAAAAAACCCTGTGAGCTGGCTCACACTAACTCAGCTTAGAAGTGACCTTCTTGGGACTGACGTGCAACTCCGATCAAAGCTGTGAACCCAGAGGCAACTCGTAGACGGACCATGCAGCGTAGCCCGTAAGTTCGCCCTGCCCTTCCCCGGGGAGTTCAGGGCAGGTTACGTGGGTTGTCTTCCCAATAACCCGGTGAGGCCGGTTGAGCTGAGCAAGAGTGCCTCACCTGGTGGTCATCCCACAAGGGGAAAGAATGTGAACCCAGGTGTCCCCATGGCAACACAAAATCCCGTAATTCAGTGGTCCTCCTACTGTAAGTCAGGGCCCAAAAGTAAAAACATCAGAAGAGCCCTGCTGGGTCAGACCAGTGGTCCATCTAGTCCAGCATCCTGCCTCACACAGTGGCCAACCAGTTCCTCTGGAGGGCCAGCAACAGGGCAGAGAGGCTGAGGCCTTCCCTGATAAGAACATGAGAAGAGCCCTGCAGGATCAGACCAGGGAGGGTCCATCTAGGCCAGCATCCCATCTCACACAGTGGCCAGCCAGTTCTTCTGGAGGGCCAACAACAGGGCACAGAGGCCGGCGCCTTCCCCTGGTAAGAACATCAGAAGAGCCCTGCTGGATTAGACCAGTGAGGGTCCATCTAGTCTAGCATCCTGCCTCACACTGTGGCCAACCAGTTCCTCTGAAGGGACAAAGACAGGGCATAGAGGCCGAGGCCTTCCCCTGATAAGGACATAAGGAGAGCCATGCTGGATCAGACCAGGGGTCCATGTAGTCCAGCATCCTGTCTCACGCAGTGGCCAGCCAGTTCCTCTGGAGGGCCAACAACAGGATGGGGATGACAAAAACAGTTGACGGGGATGACAAAAACAGGGTGGCTCTTTTTTTGCCGTGATGAGTCCAACACTGCTCCGAGTCCTGAAACTCTCCTGGGTCTGTTTGCCATAGAACCTGAACACAATCTTCGAGGACGACGAAGACGGAAGCAGTTCCAGTACCGAAGAGCTGTTGCCCTCGCCAAAAATAATATCTGTCGTCATCCGACCGCACGAGGGAGTCCCCTCAGACTACCCTTTCTGCATCACCCCCAAGCAGATAGTGAGTCCTCTTCCCTCTGACGTGGGCCTGGAGACGTAAGAGTAGAAACGCTGGGAGGGAAACCGTCAGTGGGGAAGGGGACGCGTGCCGTGAAGGAGACCCGAGGAAGGGGGAAGCCAATGTTGGATCAGGCCAGTGACCCATCCAGTCCAACACTCTGTGTCACCCAGTGGCCAAAAATACCAGGTGCTCTCAGGAGGTCCACCAGGTGGCCCCTCCAGTCCAGCACACTGTGTCACACAGTGGCCCGGGGCCCACCAAGAATAAGAGAAGTCATGTTGGATCAGGCCAGTGGCCCCTCCAGTCCAGCACACTGTGTCACACAGTGGTCAGAAGAACCCAGGTGTCGTCAGGAGGTCCACCAGCGGGGCCAGAACTCCAGAACTCAATGCTGCTGGAAGATCCAGAGGGTGGGCCAAGTCTTAACATTCCACCCAGTGAGCAGTGGCACCTTCCTGCAAAGCAGGGAGCCCTCATCCAATGCAAGAGCCTTCATCCGAAGCACAAACAACTTCAAGAGGGGATTGGGTGAACATACAGAACAGAGCTCCATCAGTGGCTCTTAGCCACAAGGTATAGACAGAACACTCTGTCTGGGGCAAGTGATGCTCTGTATTCTTGGTGCTGGGGGGGGGGGCAACAGTGGGAGGGCTTCTAGTGTCCTCCTGGCCCCACTGGTGGACCTCCTGATGGCACCTGGTATTTCTGGCCACTGTGTGACACAGAGTGTTGGACTGGGTGGGCCACTGGCCTGATCCAACATTGGCTTCTCTTATGTTCCTATGTTCTCTTAGCCACAAGGTACACATGGAGCACTTTGTCTGGGGCAGTGATGCTCTGTCTTCTTGGTGCTTGGGGGGGGGCAACAGCGGGAGGGCTCCTGGAGTTCCAGCCCTGCTGGTGGACCTCCTGATGGCCCCTGGGTTTTGGCCTCTGTGTGACACAGAGTGTTGGACTGGATGGGCCACTGGCCTGATCCAACATGGCTTCTCTGATATTCTAAGAGGAAATGTCCTTGTGTCAGAGAAGGGTGCAGCCGCTACTGGAGCAGAATCCAGGATTGCATCCAGGAGCGCAATGTCAGCAAGTGGCGTCTGGAGGCCTCGGCTCAGTTACGGGTCCAGCAACCCCCACAGGGCAGGCCAGCGGCCGTGTTTGAGGTCTCACCAGGAGCCCAATGAGATTCTTGAGTTCTGTTGCCTGGCTAAGAATGCAAAAGCAGGGGAGGAGGTGTTGATCATCTGGCGGGACACCAGCCACAGCCAGTGGCGTGCGCGTGGCTATGTGGCCCAGCATCGTTTTGTTCAGTGGACAATCTGAGGCCCATAGGTAGCCAGCAGCAGTGTTCCCTGTAAGCTGAGTTAGTGTGAGCTAGCTCACAGTTTTTTAGCCTCCAGTTCACAGATTTCTGTCTTCGCTCAGGAATGATGGTTCCAGAGCAAACTAATTTATGCAGTTGCCAAATCGCTGCTCCCAACTTTAATGCCAGGAGCTCACAAAGTAGAGTTTTTGCTCACAAGACTCCACAGCTTAGAGGGAGCATTGGCCAGCAGAGGCCAGGAATCCCACGCCTTAGAGACGCATCATACCACGCTTCTTACACATCTTCGTTACCTTGCTCCCTCTCATTCCAGCAATCCTGTTCCCTTTTTTTCATTCAGATTGGCCAGCCACCAATTCTCCCAGGAGAAACCGGAAGGTGGTGTTCCCTCTAAGCTGCGGAGTCCTGTGAGCAAAAATTCTGCTTTGTAAGCTACTGGCGTTTAAGTTGTGAGCAAGCAATTTGGCTACTGCATAAATCAGTTGGCTCTGGAGCCCATCCTTCCTGAGCTAAGGCAGAAATGTGTGAGCCGGAGGCTAAAAGACTGTGAGCTAGCTCACACTAACTCACCTTAGAGGGAACACTGGCGGTGACTCTCGCACATAATTCTGTGTGACCCTGTGCACCACATTGCCGCGTTCTCCTCTTTTAAGAATGTTTTCAGCCTCTTCCCCACGTGATGGCAACTGCGCAAGTTTCCTCCGCTGTCGCATGGCGCTTCTCAGAACAACCTCATCCAAAGCCACACAGCTGTTAACGAAACCACTGTTTGATTCCAGGTCATCCCTGCAGGGGGCGCTGCATCCATCCACATATCCTTCACTCCACTGATCCTGCCGGAGATCATTAATAAGTTTGAGTGTGAAGCTTTCGCCCTCGGCTTCATGAGCCTGGATAGCAAGGTAGAGACTGGACAGGGAAAGGCCTCGCCCTCTTAATTCTTCCCCCCCCCCCTCAACTGAGGCTTCTGACCTTTAAGACCGACAAAGTTTTATCCGAGGGATAAGCTTTCGTGAGCATACACACTTCTTCAGATACAATGACATGGAAAATACCAGCCCATGCATCTAGGCAGAGGGTGAGCAGCAAATTAGCATGCAGCACAACGAAGATGTTTAACAGATTCAAGGACCAAACAGGAACAACAAGCTTAGTTTATATGGTTACCGTGCTGGAGACAGTTTAGTTACATGCCCCATTCTAAGATCAAGAGGATCCTGTCACGCTTTTCTGGACCTGTTCCAGCTTGTCAACATCCTTCTTGAACTGCAGTGTCCAAAACTGAACACAGCACTCCAAGTGAGGTTTAACCAGAGCAAAGGGATACCATCACTCAGGGGTCATTTCGTAGAAAAAGAGGTGCAGGAGCTCATTAGCATAACTTATTAGCATAGCTTATTTGCATATGCAGATAACTTACTTGCATACCAGAAGTGTGTCAGAAGGCAACACCCACCGCTCAGGCTCCACTGGACTGTTTTGGATTGCT